TTATTAAAAGAATATTAATACTTTATTAATTAATAATAATATAAAGTTAATTAATTTATATAATTATAATCTATATTAAAAATTAAAAACATAAAAAATATAATAACAAAATATTATAAAAGTTGAAGGGTCAAAACTGAAAATATCAAAAAGTTAAAACTGAAAAATAATATATAGGAAGGGGTATAGAAAATGTAGGGGAAAGAGTGTAGGAGGGGGTGGGGTTAGAAAACCCCTAATGTTACTGTGCTTATTGAAATTTATGATGAAGTTGTTTACCAAGTTAAAGATTACTTTTCAAACTTAATCACTAAAATGAAATGCAAAGTAAAAGCACTTTTTGTGGAATGGTGGTGTGAACAATTAAACAACTGACATTGGTTCCACTTGGGAATCAAGTTGGTTGCTTTGCATATTATTGTCAATTTGTTCAGCTTGTTCAGCGCTTCACGGATATATATATATATCTGTTATTTGTTGGTATGTGCGTCATTTATATTGAATGCTTCAATTATTGATGATTATAATTATTTTAAAGTACATTGATTATCAGTTTAGTATGTAATGCAATTTGTATTTTTTTTAATTCAGACTAAAAACCTGCATTTTACTTATAAATTTTGATTCTTTTTCGTAATACCCATAATTTCGTCTGAGGAAAATATGTTGTCTCGCTTAGTTCACAAGCAAAACATGAGAACTTCATTCAAATACATAGAAATCTCACATGCAACCTAAACAAAATTACTCCCGTTTGCTTTGATAGCCTTAAAGACCATGAAATTGCACATGGAACTCACTTGATTGTGAAGATGTAGTGTATGTTCCCAAGTTAACACCTACACACGTTACAATACATACACTAGCCGATGGCTGATCATGACACGAGTGGGTTTTCACAATGAAAACTCACTCTGCGCACATAACTGATGCATAATGTTGCGAAATTCTTCACAAAACTCACATGACCATGGCTTTTACAGATGTGGAGATTGCACAATGCCTGATTCCAAGCTCCTATACAAAATTTTCACCATTTTTGACATAACTATTTCCTTTTTACTTTGTTTTCACTAATTATGTATGCATAAGAACCTTATTAACATGTACTACAACATCATGGCATGCAAGGACATCAACAATTCATATCAACATTCCCTAAATGGCAGGAATCCCCCTCTTGTTAGAAACTATACATTTTGGGGTTTATCTCGTCCTTCAAATATCATACTCGGTGTAGTGGATTCAAATTGCAAACTCACGTATTGACGTACTTTGTTATGATAACCTTTATCTATCTTAGCATGGCAAGAGAAGGCATGTATGTATGTACAATATACATCTGACGCATTTGCTTCTTGCACAAAATGTAGCTAGCTTTTCCAGCCAAGGTTGAAAAATTTTCAGAGGTGGTTGACACATTTAAGATGTCACCATTATTTTTGCATGTTAACAGCATTAATATGAGGTTTTAAAGTACACACACATACAAATATACATACAAAGTCCCCTTTCATTACAAATCAAATAATTTGTATAAACTTACAAACCAATTTTCGCATGTTGTTTCGTATATAAACAACACGTGTGAAAATGCAGTGTATATACAGTATTGTTGTTTCATATGTGAAACTAGGGGTGCTCAAAAACCCGACCAACCCGATCAACACAACCCAACCCAATGCGAAATAACCCAACCCGAAGCAACACGATGTTTAATCGAGTTGTAAAAATAATAAATCAAATGTATTAAATACAATTAATCAAACGTAAAAATTTGTATTCTTGCAACACTTTTTGGTACTATTTGTTTTGATAATGTAGAAATAATCCTAACTTGTCTGATTGGTTTGAGCTTGGCTCTAAAGGTCAAAGGTACCAGGAGGTCTCAGGTTCAAATCTAAGGAGAAATAAAAATCATTTTGTAACCACGGAGGTTCAAATGTGGTGACTCCGGGTTATCTGCAAAACAGGTAATCATCATGGAATTAGCCAGCTCTCATAGGAGATTGGATATCCAGGTTAATAAAAAAAATCATAATTTATCATCATTACAATGTCGTTTTTAGTGAAGTGGATGTGAATTATAATTAAAGCGTAGAAATAATTTGTGAAATATTTTGGATAAGAAAAAAAATTAAGATTTTAAATGCTTTTTGATGTCATTGCTTACGTAATTTAAAACAAAATGTTGATGTCATTGAATATATGTCATAAATATTAAATCCGTAACATTTAATTTAATTTATTATTTAATTTTTTTGAACTCTTTTTTTTAAGTAGAGAAAGTTATTTTTCATCTTTTACCATTGCTCAGTTCACTTACAATTTATCAGTTTTACGATTTAATAAAAACTAGTTTTTGACATCGTGCATTACGCGATGATAATATATTTTATTAAATTATTGAAGTCAGTTAAATGAGTCGATGATTACATTTATATATTAAATTAATAAAAATCAATATTACATTTGATATATGAATCCACCTTATCATTATTGGTTGTTTTTTAATATATATATATATAAGTTTTACATATCTATCTTTTATCATATCAAACTTTGTAATTGGTCCAAAATCATAACAAAAATATGTGAAAAAAATGATTATAATCAAGAGGTGTATTATGAGAATTGTTTTATCATAATACATATCAATTTATCTTCTACATATATTCTCATAAAATATTTATATTCACTAAGCAAACACTGTCATGTTACCTACTTTAATATAATTATTGAATATTTTTGCAATTTGCTTATATTAGTTCTTGATATACTAATGTAATCTTTCATAGGCCAGAAGGCTCCTTGAAATCCATTTTTTTTCTACATGCGATTGCACAAAGTGGGACAATAATAGCTAGTATTATGATCATTCCAGATACATAAGAGTTTGATTGATTTGTTATTTTTTTCATTTGACTTGTCAAAAATTTTAGATTTGTTTTAGACAGTTCATATTTATTTTCTCTATAAAAAATCCTGAAAAATGAGGTTTTTAATAAAATTATGTAAAATAAAAGATATGTATTATATAGATTATAGTGTTAATTTTTTTTTGAAAGGTAAAAAGGAAGGACAAGGATGAGAGCTTCGGCATGACCATCACCCTCACCAAGCCAACCAATATATTAAAAAGACAAGATCCAACAAGAAGCTAGACCCCGGAAGATACAAAGACATCAACCTACAAGCAAGAACAAAGAAAATAAAACCAAGCTTCCCCAAACGAAAGACAGAGGCAAGCTCGACAAAAGCAAGAGACTAAATAAGATAAGGAGAGGTAGACCAATTATCCCAATTAAGATGAAACTTACGGATCTTATTGCCCATCCATAATTTAGAAAGATTGTAAACACAAGGGAATGGGTCTTCGTCTTTTTTCTTGATTGACAAACCGTCCTCAGCATGGAGAATTTCATTTCGCCACCTCCAAAGTTGCCAAAGAGCCATAGCGCACACTGATAAGAAAATCATCCCAACCTTGTGATGAGCTCCTACTTGATGGACAAGCCATTCAAAATCAGTCACCGAGGATAAATGCGGAGCTTTAAGATCCCACCATGCCCAAATTTTTCTCCAAAGAATGCTCGCCACCGGACAAGAAAAGAAACAATGGTCCATTGCTTCAACACCTTTACCGCACAAAATACACTCCAAATATTGTAACGGAATCCCTCTCTATGAAAGATTGAATCTTGCAGGGATGGCTTCTTTAAGTAATCGCCAAATGAAAATGTTAACTTTCTTTGGAATTAACGGACTCCAAAAGGAGATATCATTGTTATCAGCATTTGTATCGACTGCCCCTTGAAGTAATTTAGACATTAGATTGACCGGAAAAAACCCATTCTTGTCCCAATTCCACGACCACACATCGTCACCTGAAGTATTAAAAGTCATTTGAGAAAGATGCCTTTCTAAGGCTTTAAGATCATCTGAGCTTCTTCCCCTGATTGTCGATTTCCAATTCCAAGCTCCACGCCAAGCTCCATTGATGTAATTCCATCTTTCTTTGAATAAAGCATTTTTATCCCTCTCCATGGCATAGAGTCTAGGATAGAGATCTTTCAGCTTTCTGCCTTGACCAATGCTCATATCCTTCCAAAAAAGAGAATTTAAATCTTTAGCAACCTTTTTGGAAAACGAAGAAAAATAATATTATGTCCTGCCACTTCCACATTCTTGTAAGAGTTGACAATAGAAACCTAAACACTTTTTCCAACCAAAGGCCTATCTGAATAAAGACCACCATCCTCACCATAAAATTCAGATATGACATCCTTCGAAATGGCATTTGTACTTGACAAAACCGCCAGATCCATTTTGCTAACAAGGCATCATTTTTTGCTCTTAAGCTAATGACACCCAAACCATCTTTTGACTTCGAGTTTAAGATTTTTTCCCAAGCAACCAAATGAATCCTTTTCTCATCTTCCTTAAATCCCCAAAAGAATTTTCTTCTTGTTGATTCCAAAGATTTTAAAACCGAATTAGGCGCTTTAAAAAGGGAAAAATAGAACAGCGGGATAGAAGATAATACCGACTGAATCAAGGTAAACCTTCCTTCTATGGAGAGACAATTAGATTTCCAATCTGAGAGCTTTTTAAGAAATTTGTCTTCCACAACCGACCAAGAGGCTTTCTTCTTCATGTTACCACCAATAGGAAGTCCCAGATAAGTGAAAGGAAAAGAAGAAGCCTTACATTTTAACAAGTCTGCCATATTTTTGACATCCGCTTTCGGAACACCAATACCAAAAAGATTGCATTTGGACAGATTTATACGCAGTCCTGAAACATCATGAAAGCAATTAAGAATATTAGTAAGAGTTACTAAATTCTTACGAGACCATTTTCCAAAAATTAATGCATCATCCGCAAATTGAAGGAGAGAAAGATTCTGATTCGACTTCGCAAGACGTATACCCTTGAATAGACCTTGATTACAGGCAGTACTTATTATAAGCTGTAAGACTTCCCCTACAAGCAAAAAAAGGAAAGGAGAGAGAGAGGATCTCCTTGTCTTAAACCCCTTTCCATATAGAACTCATTAGAAGGCGAACCATTAATCAAAACAGAAGTGGAAGCTGATTTCAAGCACGTGCAAATCCACTTTATCCATTTTTCACCAAACCCCATTTGCTTCATAGTGAGAAAGAGAAAATTCCAATTTACCGAATCATAGGCTTTTTCAAAATCCACCTTGAAAAGGAACAATTTCATCTTCTTTTTTTTGGCGTGGTGCACAATTTCATTAGTAATTAAACATCCATCCAACATTTGCCGACCCGGGATGTAGGCAGATTGATTGCCACTAATAAGCTTACTCATGACCTTCACCAACCTGTTGGCCAAAAGTTTTGCAATTATTTTATACATGCAACCAAGTAAACTAATGGGACTATAGTCCGAGATATCCAAAGGGTCAATTTTTTTTTGGAATCAAAGCGATAAAAGAAGCATTACATCCCCTCTTAATCCTGTCCGTTTTTTCAAAGTGGAAAACCGCATCAGTCACAGAACTGCAAATCACTGGCCAAAATCTCTTTATGAAGTTAAAATTTAGGCCATCAGTCCCCGGAGCTTTTGACCCATTACAAGACCAAGTAGCCTCCTTTATTTCCAGAGCAGTAAAGGGAGATTCCAGAACAGCAGCCTCTTCAAGTGATAATTTATTGAAATGAGGACTAAAAAATTTGGGTCTAGAAGGGCAAGGCTCTTTAAATCTATCAGCAAAATGATTATAGTGTTAATTATATATAGAGTTTGATTTTAGATTGAATAAAAAATTGATTATATATGTATAACTATAATTTGCTTCTATCTTTTATATCCGTTATTGTATTGGTTGTAATCAGGTTTTAGTTATATGTTGATTCTAATTTTAATTTTATATATTTGATTGTCATAATTTTCTATTTTATGTAT